TGCTTTCACATGACACTAATAGTATGGACGTAATACCCTAAAAAACAGTATGGAGGTAAGAAGGGGTTGTTTGTTGGAATCCACAGTGGACCGTACATACAATTCAGTCATGTTAACCTGCCATGTTATTTTGTTGAGGTTATTTCTTTTTTAAGATTTATTAGTTCTCAAGGCACCCGGTTCTTTTGTCTAGCTCTATATCCACTCAACTTTGATGTATTTTGTTTCTTAGCTCTGCATTTCATTGGTGCCTTGACATTCACACTCATATAACAAGTGTTGAAATTCTAACATGCAGGGTTCTTGAGCGGTTGATGGGGGTCCTTTCCTACATGTTCTCTTATGCACAATTGTACAATTGGCTAGCTAAATGAGTGTACGGTAAATTTTAGATTCTTTTGTAGTTTCATTTGCTGGGATTTTAAGGAAGTATAAGCTTTGGTATTTTGTATAGAAAGGGGTGTTTTTTCACCGATGTCCACACTTTAATCTTCGTGTTGTTGATGCAAGTAAATAGTTCGCGTAGGAATATGAACCAGATACGCAACCTTGCACATGGTGAAGGCTAGCTTCTACAAATTCATTTTTGTTGTTTTTATGCATATTACCATACATGACTATATGTTTTGGTATAGATTTGTATTTATTCAGATCTGCCACGTGTTGTAACTCTATCTAGAAGAACTCTTGCAGAATTTTTTTTATCTGATCTTCATGTGTGTTGCGTCTTCAACCATCAGAAGTATAGCTGGAACTACTGGGAGATAATGAACAACCACCTGGAATTACGAGCTTAGCTATGTTATATCTGGTATTTTTTTAAAGGAAGGTATGAACTGCGTGGTAAAAAGAATGAGTCCATGGTGTGTCATGTCACCTCTATGGCTCTACCACACACTTACATTAACTTGTATACAAGTTAGCACATTATATTTGTTTTCACGATGCAATCTGAGATACATTATGCTCAACATTTTGTTCTGCTGACTTGTGTGTTAATCTCATCCTGCACACACATCTGAATTGAATGAATGATTGATTTCATTGCTTTAGGCTATTGTTTTGAACTACATGGACAATCTGGAGCTATATCTCTGATGAAGCCATGTTGATATTTATGATTCACAGATTCCAATTCTTCAGAAGAACATTAAGTTATGGCTCATGCGAACTTAATCTAGCAGGTTGCTTTCTTAATATTGAATACTCGAGAGGTATGTCTTTCGTGTAATAGATGAAATGGATTTTCTTTTGTGGTATGATATAATCAGTTTGTTGATGTTGGAATTTGCGTGAAAAAATAAGGTATATGTATCACCTACTATTAAATAAGCATTCATGGATCAAATATAGTGACAATAATTCACAACTCAACTATTCCAATTTGGAAAATGAATGATTGAAAGTGGCACATATGTAACACTTATGGCACTTGCAATATGCCATTGCCAAGCGACACAACCATGGAACATTCTGTCAAGAAAAGAGTGAACTACCATGATACATTTTTTCAACAAAATTTCATTGACAAAGAGGGCATTTTTCATGAAATATTTCCTTACTCATAAAACAGAGGAAATAAATTTGGAGACAATGGGGTGGTGGAGAATGACATGAGTAAACCATTAAAATTTTCTAAGGATACACGTGCATTGCACGTGCAAAGTTACTAGTAATATAAAAAGACTCAAAGAGGCAGATCCAACAAATCCTGGCCATCAAATCAGGTCAATCCAACGACTCAGACTTCTTCAATGGTGAGTGCTCAACACGTTTAGTGTGCAGTTAATATCATATCAAATATTAATGCCAATGCTAATCACATAATTAATACGCAAATAATATCCTACCTAATATTTATGCATAATTAACATATTACCTAATATCAATGTGCATTGCACACACACATTTACTAATATCAACGTGCATTGCAAGTACACATTTACTAGTGGTAGGAAGCATTCGAGACGGTGGCGACTTAGTAGAAGGGCTCCATGTAGAGGACGTCTCCATGTTGCCAAGGTATCGATCGCGTCATGGCCAGAGCGAGCAGTGGTGGATCATGCTGGACGGTCGTCGGTGCTCGTCCGCTCTTTTCTTCTTGTGGGCGCAACATCGTGGACAATTAGTATCTCATCAGATCACGGCCGCGCGCATCATGGAGAATTAAACGTCGCTCCTCGTGAACGGGCAGCCGCTGCTTGCAGATATACTCGCTAACGAGATTCTCCTCGTCCCCGCTCCCAATCAACAACCTCACCACCGTCGTCGGCAAGAGCGATGACGGACATGTAGCTTCGGGATGACGTCTGGCCACCGGTGGAGAGAGCCTGGATGGGTCAATCGCTAGCGGAAAGAGAAGATGCGACGAGGGGCATGGCGAGCTCGGAGATGTCTGGGTCACGCGAGATGAGGACGATGGTTGGGTGGTCGACGCAGGTCGGCAGGTGAGATTAATCGGGATTTAAAAGCTGAGGAGAGGTTATGGGGGGCATGGCGAGATAAGCGGTCCTCTTTGAAAACAGGAGATGGATTTGGAAGCAATCCAGTCGTGAGATTTGCAACGTATCGACGTCCCTCGACCAGTGTGACGAATGCTTCCTATCTATATCTATATCTATATCTGTACCTACTATTAAAGGGAATAGGTATTCTTGGTTTGGCACCGCTTTGTTTCGTCTTGTTTTGATGATTTATTTATGTATGCTATTTTTTGTTTACTCCGTTTACGCACACTACGAACGGAAAGAAAACTGGGACATACGTGCAAACGAAACGCAAAAAACTAAACCAAGCGGGCCGGCCCATCGTATTCCTACCCCTGGGCATGGACGATATTCTTTTTGCATGACCATTGCGTTACCGAGCTGGACCACGGACGGACATTTTTTTCTTCCGGTCAACCGAGCAACACAAAAAATGGTGTTGGGCGTGAGTATCGAACTGCAGATCTCGTGAAACAAACGCCTTAGCAGTAACCAACAGATCTCGTGAAAAGAGCCAAGGCCGTGTGGAAGGAGCTGGGGCTGGAAACATCGATCACGAATGCAGCAGCCCATGAGCGGTCGGGGTCGGTAATCCTGGAGACACTTCTCTGCTCTGAGCTACCAGGAGAGGTAAAACTACCAATTGATAATGGTGTGGAGACAGTTATGGTGACTGGATGGTACTTATGGTGGGATCGTCGGAAGATCAGTCACCAGGAGAAGGTTGGTAGCCCGGTTCGCTCAGCTATGAGCATTCGGGCAATCGTGGCAAACTCTCTGGCTGCAAAGGCAAAGGAGCCCGCGAAACAGATTAGATGGGTGAGACCAGCAAAAGGGGTGATTAAACTAAACGTTGACGCGAGCTATCAAGTGGATGAGGGAGCGGGAGCAACTGGAGCTGTCTTACGAGATAGCTCAGGAGCGTTTATTGCTGCTTCTTGCTCCTTTCGACAATATGCCATGGATGTTCCCTCTATGGAAGCGTTAGCACTATTGGAAGGACTGCGTTTGGCAGAGCATCTGGGTATTTATGCTCTGGTGGTGGAGTCCGACTCACAGGAGATAGTTCAAGCAATGACAGATCCTTCGGAGTACCGAGCCTCGGCTGCGGTGGTAACGGATGATTGCCGACAGGTGTTGAGTTCTTTCGGCAGGGCGACGACTGTACACTGTGCTAGGGAGAGTAATGGGGTTGCGCATTGGCTAGCAAGGACTAGTTATAGAAGGCAGTTAAATGAGGTCTGGCAAGAGCATCCCCCTGATTTCTTAATTCCCTCCCTTGTATCTGATATGATTATTGTGTAATAAAGGTCGCCAAAGTTCAAAAAAAAAAACAGTGCGTCCTCACTTTATTTGAAATATATGAGGATCAACCCTCGTCACACCAGCTGGACCTGCTACCTGGGCCACACACCCATATTGGGCCTAGGCCTGCACTCTAGAAGTGCGCCCACACACTAGCGAACAAAAAATTGAATTGTGATCTTACGGTGTTACTTTTGGTGTTAATGCCCGTGAACATTTCGTGTTGAATAGTCCCACCTCGCTACCTTAAATCGATTCTCACCAATTCATATAGATTCATCATCGTTGCCTCGTGTGAGATAATTAAAGAGAAACCGTCACATGCAAGGTGGGTTGGACATTGCACGCTGCATGATACGAATTGTGGGCTAAATAAGGGAATAGGTATTCTTAGTTTGGCACCGCTAAAACAAGCGGTAAGCGGCTAAGGAAATAATAATAATAATAATAATAATAATAATAATAATAATAATAATAGGGTAAGAAGAGGGTTAAGAGAAGAATCCGTGGAGGAGATAAGAGGAGAAATGAACTTAACTTGGATTCAGTCTAGCTAGCGCATAGTCGAATACGGCTTGTCATGATGTACACCACAACCTAATAATAACAAATGGAGGTACTATAACATAATAGGCGATAACCAACTCCAACACTGAGGCACGGTTCTTGATTAATTTTTATAAACACAAATTAGATTTTCATTCAATGTGAGAGTACATTAATTTTCTCTTCCACTGTAATGCACATGCATAGAATAATTTTGATGGACGAAAAAACAGTATAAATTACATATTCATTCAATGGGAGTGCACGTTAATGTTCTCACCCATTGCAAACTCACGGGCATTGATCAAATTTGGTGGACAGAAAAACTTTTTTTCATACCGAAGTATAACTGTGCCATTCATTTTCAAAAGACTTAGGTATATATTAATATTCATATTCTTTCCTGTTGCAAAGCACGGGCATTTGCGCTAGTCAGATATAGGATAGGAAGCGTTTTTTCAAAGAGAAAAGAGACCCAAAGTTCTGCAAAACCGTCAGATGTAGATCTGACGCCCCACCTCTCCCACGTCACCGTCCACCCTTTCCTGCGGCAACGCGCCGACCAAACTACTCGACACAAACCCGTAAAAACACAGGCCGATCTCGGCTCGCCCATCGTGCCGATCTCGGCCTCCCGGCTCTCTCCACTCGCCTCAATCCCCAATGGCCGTCGACACCACCACCGCCGCGCCTTCCCACCCTGAAGGCGACGAAGGCGGTGAAGAGGCAGTGCGGCCGCTCCTCTCCGGCGCGCCCGCTGAGGTGGAGGATGAGGAACTGGACATCAGGTACGCGCCCTATGCGCGCCGTGATGCGTACGGGCCGATGGGCCGCGGGCCGCTCTCTGCGGCGCAGGTGGCACGGTTAGTGCTGGCGGGCGTCGTTCTCCTCCCGCTCCGTCTCGTCGCAGGGGTGCTCCTGGTCGTCGCCTACTACCTCGTGTGCCGTGTGTGTACGCTGTTTGTGGGCGGAGTGGGAGAGGGCCGTCCCCGCCTACAGGGGTTGAGGAGGGAGGCCGTGCTGCGTGCTGGCCGCGTGTTGTCGCGGGCAATGCTGTTCGTGTTCGGGTTCTACTGGATCCCCGTGTCCGATCGAAGCTTCCCCAATGCCGAGGTCAGTACGCGACCTTCCTCTGTCACATTGTAATTTATTTAGCCGATGTGTCCTGGCTGTTTCCCTACGTACAGTACTTGCTAGTGGGTCCCACATTACATGACTATGTCGTGGTTGGCGAACATGGCACTGGTTTGAAAGAGAGAGAATGTTGTGATACCGGGGTGTGCGTGACAGCGTAGGACTACAGATGTTCTGTGGTGCTGTAAGTTGTGGTAACTATGGTGAATCGCATAATGTGTGTGGCTATTTGCTAGGTGAGTACTCGCTACTAATCTGGTAATGTTTGCACTGCAGCATCTCTCATGTTGGCATGAGAACTGTTTTATACCTGCAGTCACGGGCCCATATCAATTGGTTGCCGGTTTTGGTCTCTTTGTGTGTAAGTACATGCAAAATTTGGAACATGCAGTATGCGGTGATAAGCATTAGAATATGCTGCAAATGGACGAATGAATGTTCCTCCGGTAAAAGATAGTGCTTGGACAATTGTGGTTAAACTCCTCCATATGGCTTAAAGATGCTTGTTATAACCTCATATGCAAATTACAGTTTTATTGTGTTGCTAAGAAAAAGAATGTCCCTGCAGTTTGTTCCTGTGTAGATCCATTGGATCAACACTTCATCAAATTGGAAGTTGAATTGGTGTCATATTCCCTACATGTTAAGATCTATTTATGTATTCTAATTAAGCTTTATCGTAACTTGAAATTAGCAAGCATGTCTCAGTGTGAAAGCTAAACTAAATGGTTGCAACATGTCTTGGATTCTTCATGTATGCAGAATGCGGAAGCTTAAATTGGTCATAAGTGTCTCTTTTCTTTAGAACCTCTTGGGTGGTATGTTAGTTTTGTTGGAAAAAATTGTACATAAAAAAATGCCAATTGTTTCCTGCGATCTTCTTCATGTACTGTCTTGTACAAGCATTGTATATCACCTCTCTTGTGTTATTGTGACCCATGATTAGGGGCAGGGGTGAGCAGGGGCAAGCCGCCCTGGGTCTCCTGATGCTAATAAGGGTACCACCCCCCTCCCTCTACTAAAATTGGTTTGGTTTTTAACTCGGGGAGTAGCCGGGGTCTCCTTACATAGATTGAGAGACCCCTGAACTAATCTAATCCATACGGGATAGAAACTCTATCTTTGGAAATTTTAATAGAAAGGCAGGGAGGCAGTGCGACCCTAGCTGTGCTGCCGACTGGCCTGGCGCTACATAGCGGTGGTCCCACAGCTTATACTGCTGCCCCCACATGACATGTGTCCATGCGACCGAACTATAATTTTGCTTCCTGGTTCCCGTGTCATGTTAGTATAATATTTTGTTCAGGATGTACCTAAAGATCACTATGAAGAACTGGAAAGACCAGGGGCGATTGTATCTAATCATGTGTCATATGTGGACATTCTTTATCATATGTCAGCTTCTTCTCCGAGTTTTGTTGCTAAGGTACCAAAGACAATGTTATTCATGTTGATACAGTGACTTCCCTGCAAAATTATTTTTGCACAATTACTTATAATTGTATGAACTTACATCTTCTTCAATCTAAATGCCTTGTTCGTGCTTAATTATTCTTTGTAGAACTCAGTGTCCAAGTTGCCGTTGATTGGTCTCATAAGGTAACTTAATTTTTTCTTATTAGTGTTTGTAGGAAGTGCCTTATTAAGACAATATGTGAAAAGATAGCCTTAATTGTTATATTCATTTCACTTTAAAAGTTTTTGTGAGCTTAACATTTTCTATTTATGTCAATCTTGCATATAATATATTGAGGGTATTTCTCTCTCGATTGCAGCAAATGTCTTGGGTGCATTTTTGTTCAACGAGAATCCAAATGTTCAGATTCTAAAGGTGTCTCAGGTATGTATTGACATGCATTCATTGATGTCATTTTGCAATCTTACTTGTTATTCTCAGTGTTCAAAAAATGTCCATTACCAAAATGCTTATTTTTGGCACTGATTCAAATATGCCATTGATTTTTATTACAACAACAGCAACGACTAAGCCTTTAGTCCCAAACAAGTTGAGGTAGGCTAGAGCTGAAACCCATAAGATCTCGAAACCAACTCATGGTTCTGGCACGTGGACACTGGCGGAGCCTCTTGGAGGCCATTGGGGGGGGGGGGGCATGAGCCCCACTTCCAAAATTGAAAAACTAATTTAGTACTAAGCGTTTCAGCCCAGCCCAGTATACACCCCTCCCTCCTAGGCCCCAGCCCAATGAACCGACAACCTCTCCCACAACTGATGCACGCTCGTCTCTCCTCCTTCTCCTTTCCCCAAATCGACAGGAAATTTTCTCTATCCTCCAAATCGCCATGGATGGCGCGCCGTCTTGGCTTGACTGGCAACCGTCGCTTACCAGTCATCACTGCTGCCAGCCGCCGCTTACCAGTCACCACTGCTGCCGTCCGCCGCCGTCCGCCGACCTGACACTCGGGTTGGCGGTTGCCAACTATCTCCACCCTCTGCCCCTCCGGGCTGCTGCGCCGAGCGCCGGCTGCCTGCTGCCCCTTCTCCTTCTTGGTGTCGGGCGCTGGCTGCTGGCTGGTGTGCTCCATAGTCGCCTTTTGGCCAGTCCACTGCATTCTACTGTTATGGCTATAGAGCACTTCTTTTGGTCAGTCGCTATGGAGCACTCGATAATAGTAATTGTCCACAATACCAGGTATGTTGGTGTTACCATTTATCGGTGTGAACAAGCTATATAGATAGATGTATATAAGCTGTATATTTTGTTC